ATTAAATTGAGAAGTGGTGCAAACAGTGTACTATTTTAAAATTTGCATCGGGTTTTTAAGGTGGCATGACAATATATGTTCTAATTGCCCCATGGTACAATTTTACATTTTCAGGGAAAAAATTGCTGGAATCTATCGCACTCTGCCTGACTGGCGTCCACTTTGCGACTTGCCTTTGCCGTCTTGTCTGGGTCGGTTCGCTTTGCCTTTTTCTCACGATTCAACCCGACCCTGTCGGAGAACCGGAACAACGGGCTGCCCAGTCCTCGCACGAAAGTGGCCGCGCTCGTGGCCGACTGATGCTGCTTGCCGGTCCTCGGGGTGCCACCGTTCACGACGGCCAACTCGGCACCGTCCTGACCGGCCAGCCCCGATCGACTGCCCTCCTGGGCCGGCCAAGCATTCAGCGAATGGTCCAACGCCTCAGCCTCCGTCTCCGCCTCATCCTCGTCTCTGGGCCGGCCTTCCCTCTGCTCGGACCATCCCGTCTGTTTGCGCCACTCCTCCTCGCCGTCACCGTCGAGCTGAACCATGTCCGACCGGCCAGGCGCCGAGTCTGCGGTACCGGCCAGCGAGCTGGCCTGAGTCGTGTCAGTCAGTGTGCTCGTCTGGCTGAGCAGACTGGTGGTGAGCAGCAGGTGAGGCTGCTGGTGCTGGTGGAAGACTGGACTGCCGGCAGTCCAGGCGTTGAGGGAGCCGGTCGCCGTGGCAACGGAACATGAGCACGAGGAGGAGGAGGAGGAGAAGGAGGTGCGACGGCCGGTCTCGAATGCGGTCGCGTCTGCCGGCGAAAGGGTTCTGTCGAGGCCGGCCAGTCTGCAATTGCGTGTCCGAGTGGCACGGCTCGTATCCACGTCAGTTCTGTGGACGGGGTGGAGCTGCTCGCCGACGAGCGGACTGAGCGTCGCCTCGGAGACGGATCGCGTTTCCAGACCACGCAGTAGGTCGGGTCCTGGGAAGAGTGTGAGTGGACCAGGTGACGAGACATCGGCCGACTGAGGCTGGACGATCGGGCGTGTCGACCTCAGCGCGGGCGAGTTGAGGAGGCTGCTTGCCTTTTTCGCGCCCCTCGTGGCCCAGTTCGTCTGGCTCTGTACCGCCTCATCCGCGTCATGGGAACGCTGCGACAGGAAGCTCAGTCGTGAGGCCGGTTTCGATAGGCTATTCCGGGAAGAGGTGGAGGCGACCAAGCGTGAGGAAGCTGAAGAAGAATACACAAATCACGAATAATCAGCTCAAAGTGATTTAGGGACTGCTTCAACGTGCAAGCCTGTCAATTGCTTGTTTTTTTTAGTTAGATCGGTTGGCGTGTGTATTATTCTATTTTTCGTATGTAATTGGAGTTTTCCAAACTACCAGTAACTCAGTGGCAAACTCACATGCTGCACTGTCACGGTTCGACTCCCGCTTGAGGAGGTCGAAACTGAAATCCATCTCAGACTGGATGAGAACAACTTTTGTGAAAGCAAGGCTCTGTAAAAGTCAATGGAAAAGTCAATTGCCCTTTGTCATTTTAAGTGAAATAGTGTGAATACAGCTCATATAACTGATTTGGTGGTAGTCTCGAAACTCTCTTTATATTCGAAAAAGAAGTGGGAAATTAATCGGTTTTCCAGCATTCTGTTAGACTTACCTCAATTGTGCCAACTTTTCGCTATCAATTCTCTAGTAAATTATGAGACACCAAAAGTCTCATTATATAATTCATTATATAATTGGGCGCCTATCTATATTCATTTATATAACTATTATGATTAAAGTATAATATTATCATTTTTCGTATCGCGAGTATGTTTTCATTTTAATCACCTCAATCGAAATAGGATACATTAATATCTTTATCAGATCTATTGGAAATCTCGAAAAGGCTACGTCCTCTTAGTGAATGTGGACAAAGCGAATACTACAGGTGAAAAAAAAACCGATAAGGGATTAGATTATAACTAAATTTGATGAAAAGGCACAAACGTATAAATAATATTCTTAAAATTTGCAGCGATGTTGCGATGCACAGATAAAATAAAGGAGAAAGATAAAGCGGCGGCAACTTCATGTAAAATCATTACTATGATAGATGTGTGTTAAAATGCAAAATGATTTGTTATTTTTAACTAAGATTTTGAAGGTGAACCCATATCGTATATAATGTAAAAGTAATATCTCTATCAGTAAACACTTTGGTTGTAGCCCATGGACCAAGAAACAATCATACTATTTAAAGCATAACAAATAAAGGAGAAATTTCGCATAAATGATTGCTGAACCAACATGTGGTGATGCTTTCTATACTGTATTGCTTTTCCAATAATAAACCTATAGCTTTTATTACTTTTTGACTACCCTCAGCTATTATATGTTATTAATAAACGGAGAAAAAAATGATACCACTTTAAATTTTTATCGTGTTTTTTAATGAAATAAAACCTTTACATGTATTATTTTTAAAAGTCAGACTATGTAAGGAGACGAATTACTCGTATTTTTGAGCCGAATGCATATTATAGGACATCACAAAATTGATCACAAAATGCTTTATCAACGCCGAAAATAGCCAACCAAACAGGATTATTCGCATTTTATCGTCACGTGCTATTGGGTCACAGGACAGACGTGACAATTAAGGCTAGCTATAGCCATCCCAAATCAAATCTTTATGGTGGTACTAGTTATGAGCAAAACTTGAATGATTATACCAATTAATTAGATTTGCAGGCTACCGGTGGATATTGAAAAAGAGTTGGATGAGTATACCTAATGCAAGGTTATATGAAATTCAAAGGAAATATAAGACATACTTGTATGAATGTGGGAAAATTCAACTATCAGTCATTCATTGTCTTATGCGATCTAGTGTGAAAACAAACTTTTGATTTTAATTGCAAGCCCTTGGAAAGATATGTGAGGTAAACCAAATGAGTTTCAATGGTATCATGAGACTGAGTTATATCTTTGTGGAAAACTCCAATACCAATTCTAAACTGAACATATGCGACAGAGGGTTATTAGGTTTTTATTCATGAATTGTGGATAATTTCGAAACATACTGAAATTGAGAATTGGAAAAACAGGCTGATTTGAAATTTGGGAAGCCATGGCAGTATGCCATCATTAGGGCAACAGTGAACACCAACATGGCAACTCTGTAGTCTTGCTAATCAAAAAGTAAATGGGTTTCGATGAAGTTCTCGACGGCGTGGCAGTAAAGCTGCATAAAAATGGGAGTCAGTCATAGTCTTCTAGTGAGATCGATCTACCAATCTTTTCATCATGCATTATCAATAAAAATTGATGTCTCAACGATAGTCTGTAGGCTATAGCAGCTGATCGAAATGAGGGCAGCAAAAGAGAGCTTCGGTTGAAAAGATGATACAACTTCTTAAAAATTCAAATATTACTATTTATTAATGAACCGATCTTTTTGGCTACAAGATCTCTTTTAAAAAACGACCATGAAAAAGATAAAATGAAAACCTTTAGCATGGCCAAGATATAATTAGCCGATGCCAAGGTAACTATTAATTTGAGTAAAGAGCTGTGGAGAAGGGAGTCCAATCGGTGTGTACTGGAAGAAAATCAGAGAGGGCCTTAGAGCACGATGTATGCGGAATAAGCTTTTGTTTGTCGAAAAATACATTAATAACTATATTATAGTGGGCCTTTCATTCTGAGGGAAGAGTTGAGGATAAGAGTAGAATAATTTGGCCGTTTGGCAAACCGAATGAGAACCAAAGCCTTCGAATGGTTACAGTAGACGGTTCCGTTAATGATAATCTCGATAACAGCTCACATAGAAAAGAGATAATGTTGTCTAGTCTAGAGCGCATTATTATGTTGCTTCATCCAAAATCCCGCCAGAAATGAGCCCTTAGGGAGGCAAATTCCGTTGGGATCGCAGATGAGAAAATGCAATCAAATTATTCAAAAATCTATCAAAAGTTTCGAAAAATACTTATTCGGTGTAAATCTTAAACACATATATCACTGTTAGCAACTACTTTACTGTTCTCTCTCTTTCTGTCTCTCTCTTTTAAACATAATTTGGCTCATCCGTAAGTAAATTTCTTTATCTTGTCGAATTTGCGCCAGCGTGCTGCCAACGTATCTCCTGTTGCATAATTGACTAACACCGTCAACTAAGAGTGAATATAGCATTACACACACTAAACCCTTCTCTGGATCAAATGTCTTAATGCACTTAAATCTATTTGCTGAATACTTATAAAAGTAGTAAGTCGAGTAACCGACAAATCTAACTAGTGGATGGCATATACGCTCGATATCTC